CCAAATCAGAGATTGCCACCTCAAATTTACGTCGTAAAAGGCCTGTAAGACTCCGTTGATGTAGCATTGCTCGTCTCGGCCTCTCGGGGCTACACCGCTGCTCCTCCACACGGAATCCGACCGACGCGAGATAAATTCACACACAACGGAGAAATGACGAATCCCGGTTTAGTAAACATGCAGTAGTTGTTGTAGACGTGTAAGTTTTCACAAGATAATGTTGCGCTTTGGCGCGGCGTATAACAAGGAAGTAGGACTGTAGGAGTACTTAAACGTCTCCGGCCGGCCGGCAACGGCAGCTCGGTCGGCCCATCTTTACGAACCAACGATGAGCGCCGGGGTAGTGACCAAGTCGGCACCGGTGCTCGTCGTCGGCCCGCCCGGCGGCGACGACGCCGTGGTCCACCTCACCTCCTCCTTCGACCGGATGGTCCCTCCTATCGGGGTCACCGCGCTGCTCCTCTTCGACCGGCCGATCCCCGAGCCGGCGGAGACCATCAGGGCGGCGCTCTCGAGGGCGCTGGCCCACTACCGCCCCGTCGCCGGCCGCCTCGCCGACCACGCCGACGGCGATGGCAAGCTCATCCTGCGCATCGAGGGCGCGGCCGGCGTGCCGTTCGTCGCCGCGTCGGCGTCCTGCGCGCTGGCGGACGTCACGGCGCCGCTGCTCGGCGGCCTCGCGTTGCGGTACCCCGGAAGGCTCTGCCGCCACGGCGACCCCCTGCTGCTTTTGCAGGTCACCGAGTTCGCCTGCGGCGGGTTCGCCGTGGCCGCGACGTGGAACCACGTGCTGACGGACGGCGAGGGCATGGCGCAGTTCCTGGGCGCCGTCGGGGAGCTCGCGCGCGGGGCGTCCCCGGCGCCGTCCGTCCCGCCACTCCGCGCCGACGACGGCTCGCTCCTGGGCCTCCCGCCGCCCACGGTCGCCGCGCAGAAGCAGGAGGGCAGCCCCATGCTCAAAATGAACCTCGCGCTCCTCGACGTCACCGTCCCCGCCGGCCTGATCGGCCGCGTCAGGGCCGAGTTCGACGCAGCAGGCCTCGGCGACCCGTGCACGGCGTTCGAGGCCGTCGCGGCAGTGCTGTGGCGGTGCCGGACCCGCGCGGCCGTCGTCTCCGTGTCCGACGAGGCCCCCGTGACCCTCTTGTTCGCGGCGAACCTGCGCCGGCTCGTCGGCGCCAGGCCCGGCTACTACGGCAACTGCGCGGTGCTGCGGTCGCTGACCTCGACGCGCGGCGCGGTGGCGAACGGCGCGGCCGCGGACGTGGCGAGGATGATCCGGCGCGCGAAGGAGAGGATCCCCGGCCTGCTCGGCCCCGGCGGCACGACGACGGAGCAGGGGGCGGTGGCGCTGACGTACAGCACGCTGGTGGTGTCGAGCTGGAGGAACCTGGGGTTCGAGGCGGCGGACTTCGGCGGCGGGAGGCCGGCGCGGGTGACATGGCACTGGTACGGGGAGACGACGGTGCCGAGCTGCGTCGTGTGCCCGCCGGGCACGGACGGCGACAACGGCGGGGTCAGCGTGACATCGCTCTTCGTCAGGCCAGAGCACGCCGACGCCTTCCTAGCCGAGCTCGCCGCCATGTCGCCTGCATCCATGCCATCACCATCACCATGAATCTGTGAACTTGTACAGCTCTGACAGTGGAAGTTGTAATAATTCAAGTATGAAAAAAAAAGTTTCAAATGATGATTTTTTCACTATGGTTGAACAGAGGATCAGCTCCTCATTTCAAACAAATTCTTCAAGATTTCTCCTTCGAATTCAAGATAAACCACTAGACAAAATATACAGCTGCTGGCTTTGTGACTGGGGACACATGAACAAAATTGGAAGGGGGTACGCACAACACACCCATTCCATCCCCACTCACAAATGTCTGAACCTTGAGCCATCTTCCCTACATACTACTGCTACTGCTACTACCAAGGGCCTGAAGCTAGCACTACTATACAAAATCCTGGAGTACTCCCATGGCAAAGGAGCTCCATCATTTGAAGAGCATCTTGAGCTCCTCGATGCGCGAGCTGCGGACCTCCTCGTCCGTCAGCGCGCCGGCGATCATCCGCTGCTTGCGCGCCTGCACCTGCTGCATCCGCTCCTCCACCGTGTCCTTGACGATGAACCGCCTCACCTGGACCGCCCTCTTCTGCCCAATGCGGTGGATCCGCATGATGGCCTGCTCCTCCACCGCAGGGTTCCACCATGGATCCTGTATCAACACACAACAGAACTTGGTTATTGTCACACATTACTTACTACCACAGGGGATGTATCACCAAGCAAAAGTAGTTCACTGAGTTCACTGGAGTGACACACAGGGTAGCAAGGTGGAATTACCATGAGGAAGACATTGGAAGCAGCAGTCAGGTTCAGGCCCACACCTCCAGCTTTGAGTGACATGAGCAGCACCTAATGAATTTCCAGGGATAAAAGATCAGCAAGTGAAAATGCTTCAAGAATTAATTGTACTTTTCTAAAAAGAAATAGAACAAATAAATGAGCATACATACCAGCTTGTCCTTGCTTTGACTGAACTCATTGAGGACCTTCTCCCTGTGCTTCTGGGTCACCTTCCCATCAAACCTCAAGAACTTGATCCCCTTCTGGTTCAAGGGGATCTCGAGGAGATCAAAGAAAGAAGTGAACTGGCTGAACACGATGCTCTTCTCCCCCTTCTTCCCAAGGCCCTCCAGGGTCGCGAGGAGCCTCACCACCTTGCATGAATCCTTCCAGTTGTTCTTGGCGTCAACCTCGTAGCGGCACTGGACGGGCAGCATGATCAGATCAGCCTTGGTGATGGGGCTTCGGCAGATAGGGCAGGGGCCCCCGGCAGGCGTGCTCCAGCTGGAGAGGAGGCACTCACGGCACATGCGGTGCGCGCAAGGGGTGATCACGGGGTCATCGGAGGTCGACTCAAGGCAGATAGGGCACTCCGCGGCCGTGCCCTGGCGGATTTCCTCAACGACATCCTCGACAAATGCTCGCGAGGGTACAATGGCACGGCATCCAGAATCACTCTGTGCCCCTTTAAGGAACCGTTCCGCTAGCTCATCTAGGTCGGTGTACTTCTTGGTATCAGCTTTGCTGCATATTTTGAAAGTTCAGCAAAGAAATTAGAAGATGGGGCGATGAAATGCAAGAGAGTGGTTTTGTTGCGAGTAATGGCTAACCTGATGACCAGGAAAGGGTGATCACAGCACTGCCTCAGACGAAGAAGTAGCTCAAGAATATTAGCATAGTTGTTAAGAACATTGCCTTGTGCAACAAACTTATCAAATTGAACCTGTTGGAATGGAAAGACCATTTGAGTTAGAAATGAAAGGAAACTTGTCCATGAACTATTAGATTATTGCCAAGATGAACAAGAAATATAAAACTTCCATCCTTTCAGTAACTAATCAAGAAAATTTGGCCCATAAACTCTTAGAAGCGTATACCTTTGATCTCCTGAAAAGCGCTTCATAGAAATCACGTTCCTCGATAGACTGTTCGCATTCCACAACCTCAACATTAGCTGGTGGGAGGACCAATATGGGCCTGAAACAAGCATCAGAGTGATGTGGTTAACAATGGTTCCAAGAGGAAAGGCACTTATTTATGCAACTAAGAGTTTCAAAGAAATACAAAATAAGAAGTGCATACTTTCCCATCTTGTCTTTTGTTTCCTTTGTTCTCCTCAGCATGAGCGGCCTAAGAATAGCTTTGACAAGCTTCAATCCCCTCTCATCACCATTCTCATAAGGTCTCTGAATCAGCTTCTGCCACCTGGAGGGGAATCAAAACGGCTTGTGAATCAGGTTATAAATTTTCAACCACAAGTATTTGAAGTGAAAGTCTGATAAAGTCATACCAATTTGAATTACACCATGGCTCTACACGTAAGAAGCAAAGAAGACTGTAAAGGTCCTCCAAATTATTCTGCAGCAAATGTGATCATTATAAGCTAGTGTTTCCAAAAAACAACAGGCTGGATAAGGATTTCCACAAAATTCAGTACTTGGAATTATCACATCTAAACATGTGATGTAATACAAATACAAATGCAATGGCTGAAAACACACCTGCAACGGTGTACCAGTTAGGCACCATCTGCATTGTGAGCTTAACATATAAGCTGCTTGGGCAGCTTTAGTTCTGGGAGACTTGATTGTATGTGCTTCATCAAGCACAATTCTATACCAATCTATCCTGTGAAAGGCACTGCTGCCATCCTGTGAAGGGACCACATTCATTAGCTAAATGAGGACACTATAGAAAAGCTATTAGCTACAAAACTGGACATAAAAGACCATTGACAAACTTACAGCTTTATGAGCTGACTGAAGGACACCATAGGTCGTCAAGACAACAGTATGTTCAGCCATCAATTTGAGGTCACCAGTTCTATCACCACCATAGTATACAAACACAGAAATTGCTCCCGGTGTTGAATGTGCTTCCAGTTCATCCTACAAGCAGGAATAAGGAGGACAGTGCTCACATTATTTATTTGTGTAGTGATTCTTACAGACAAACAAGTTGATTAAACATGCAAGGAAAAACATTATAAACTGCAATCTAGCACTGCAGTTTCAGCTATTCTGATGTTGATTGCAGACTCTAGCAGTTCATTTGACAGAAAATGCTTCTACTAAATAACTGTAACACCAGAGATTTAACATTTTTATATGAATCACTTCTGTAGATATGCTTACCTTCCATTGACCCAATAATGCCATGGGACACACAATAAGGGTACCTCCTCTTATATTGGGGGTCGAAGTGCGTGTTCTGGTATCACGACCTCTTACAGGCCTTATTATGTCTCTTTCTATGTAGTTGGACTGCTCCCCCCTTCGGTTCGACAGTATCAGGGCAATAGTCATGACAGTTTTGCCAAGACCCATTGCATCTGCCAGTATCTACAAAGGCAAAGATAACACATAAATACTTCTCCTAATAGTACCACATAACTATGATCCGGTGAGGCAAATGAAAGCATTGCAAGTACATAAGCAAATATAGAAACAAATTTCAAATCATATCTTAGGCTTAAAGTCTATCAACTAATATCAGTGTGGTAAACGTAGTGTCACCAAACATGCACAAACAGGATTTCAGAATCCTCAACAAAAGGCAATCATAAGTATCCATTTGCTATTGGAATAGTTAATGAACAATTCAAAACAGTATTAGCAAATCAATTAAGAAACAACAAGATGCAAGGCAAAATGATAAGCCCTACATTTTCCAATATAATGTAAACCAGGCACATACATGAGGAACCATCATAAAGGACTTACCCCTCCTCGTGTCGTCTTACTTAAACTTGGAAACTTGGTTGTCGCTTCACCAGAGAAAACATTAATGTACACAGCAGGAGCCCTCCTGAGAAGATAAACAATTCGGTGATTAGCACTGACCATTATCAAACTTCTTTTAATTATACAAATAACACGGAAAAGCACACACTTGTCAGCAATAGTGTAGGCACTAAAGCAGGGATCAATAGCATTTTTTGATTCATTGTCATCAATGCATCCCTTCTCCAATTCTGACATCCAAAAGAGAGCTTCTTTCTGATACGGTTTGAGAATAGAAACAAGAGTATGTGGTGGCTCTGCTTCCTGTTTTAAATGTTGTAGATCAATATTCAAAACGGTACATTAGTTCCCATGCAAATAGAGTAGTATGAGCAAGAGTGAAACAGAAATGCACTTTGTTGTTACCTTCAAGTCATATATTTCAGCTGTGCCAATAATTTTGTTCAAGGCAGCTTCCGAAATGGCCTGCTCATCAGCAGCTTGCTCCGGAAAAGTTTGCCCAGCTGTGCGGCGGGTTTCAAGTCCAACAATAGGAGTTGATTCATCGTCTCCATTGGCATCACCCTAATTTATGTACCAGAAATTTCAATAAGCTAGCATCAAAGAAAGATACAGAAACCAAACTGGTTTACAAATGTGGAACAGCAACAGAAAAAAGAGGATTTAATTATCATGGTATGCTTGCTTTGCTATAGATGCTAAACACACAAACTGAATAATTTGGGACAGTAACAGATAACAAGAGGATTTTTTAGCTCACCCTCAGATTCCACGGTCGCTTTCTCATGAGCTCATCAAGAGTGAAATCAGCCTGCAAAACAAACATGTATACTGAATCAGCCATTCATCATGAACACCACAAGACCCGCCTAGTTGAATAAATTGGCTTCAGTGGTACCTTGATAGATGCCCTTAGCTTGAGTAATTTGAACAGGGCATGGAGAGGGTTGTCTGAATAATCAACATTTGCTGGAGCAAGCTGGCTCAAGGATGAGTTGTCGCCTTCGGTGAACACTGACTTGTGGATGTAGAAGCTGTAGGAGCAACATTTAGCAATGGTCAGACTTGCAGGCAAAATTGTGCAATGTACTAACAAAATCAATCACACAGCAAAGCACATTGTATCGTCATCAGTCATTACCTGACATAGAGCAAGATGTCCTGCATCAGCCTCAGTTCCATTGTCGGAAACACGATCTTCCCCTGAATCTTGACTTTGGAAGAGTTCACCAGTGGGACGAGGCACTTTGTCCACTCCGGAGACAGCTTTCCAATCTGCAATAACCATCAGAAGTTGCACAAGATTAAGATGATTCTGCACAGAAGGATGTCAATTCCAATCATGTGTTCACAATGCATCAGGAACTTAATGGAGAGCAGCTCACCTCTCCGGCGCGCTTGGTCGAGAAGCGCACAATCTGTAACAGCGACGCCGCCTTCTTGGCCGACATCTTGATGCCGCAGTTGACCCGGTCGTAGGACGGGAAGCCGAAATGGACGATCTCGCCGGCGTCCAGCATCCGCCTCCCGCTGTGCGTGGACAGCCCGGCGACGTAGGACTTGTCGACGAGGAACCAGTCGGGCTCCGGCGGGAAGTCCCCGAGCTCCGCCTCCGGCGCCGCCACGACCATCTTCCAATCGCTCTTCGGCGGGGCCGCGGTGGCCCTTGCCGGCTGCGGCCGCTGCCGCTGCGGCGGGTTCTGCGTCCTGGCGGGCTCCCGCGGCGGAACGGCCCGGATCGGCTGCGGGTCGTACATCTGCGCGGCCTCCTCCGGCGGAATCGCCCGGATGGGCCGCGGGTTGAGGTACGGCAGTGGGTGCGTCGCCGTGAGGTCGACCACGCCCTCCTCTTCCCGGACCCTCTTCTTCGGCCTCGGCGCGGCGTCGATGACCTCCGCCTCGCCGTCGCCGCAGTCCATCTTCACCGGCCGCGGCACGAGGCTTATGCCGCAGCCGCCGGCGCGGGGGCGGGGGCGGCCGCTGGTAACCTCCTCCTCCTCCTTGACACGGCGCGGCGGCGGCGAAGGGGCCACTTTGGCGGGAGGGGGGCAGAGAGGCCGCTCCTTCTTGGGGACGTCGACGGCCTCGGCCTTCACCCTGGCCGCCGGCGTCGGGGCAGCGGCAGCGTCGCGCTCCGCCTTGACGCGGACCTTCTCGGCGAGCGCGTCGATGGCGCGCTCGGCGGCGTCGTCGGCGTCCGCGCCGACGCCGTCGTCGAGGAGCGCGTTGATGGCGCGCTCCGGGTTGCCGCCGCAGCGGGAGAGCGCGGCGAGGACGCGGGCCTCCGGGAGCGCGGCGCCGAGCACGGCGCGGACGGCGGCGACCTCGGCGGCGAAGAGCTCGGCCTGGCTGGGGGACTCCTGCCAGACGCCGTCGCCCGTCATGGCGGCGGCCGGCGGGTCGGCGGGGATGGTGCTGGCCTCTTCCGGCGGCGGTGGATGGAGGGGGCGGGCGCGAACGGAGATTTGGAGCGCGGGAGGCGCGGCGGACGGGGGGAGTGGGGAATGGATTGAGGGGAAACCGGCGGGGGTCTGGCGAGGTTTTATGGGGATTTATCTTTTTGGCGCGAGAGGAGAGAAATGATTTTTCGCGGGGGAGGGAAAGTGAAAAGATTAGAATTGTGGCGGTGAGGTGAAATTTTTTTTACCAGCCATCTAAATAAAGACCCCTAAATTTTTTTATCTTAATAAAGGACCCCCCACACACACACTCTCGCATGTGTACATTGTGATAAGAGTGTACAAAATACATGTATGAACTAAGCGATTGTTCTGTTGTGTAAGATGTTATATCGACTAGGCCGGACCCCGATTTATATAATACTAGCACATACAGTATGTCTGTGCGTTGCAACAGAAAAAAATGATATTTTGTGCAAGTATAATGTCCCACGGCACCAGATTTACTATAAACAACATGCTGCAATGCAACATCCTTCTACAAAATGAACATAAAAATATAGATGCAATTTAGCCTTGTTCATATTTTCTTTGCCGGGCATAATCTCCCACTCATTCTATTTATTAAGTATAATCATTCCTTTAGTTACCATGACGTCCTCATCCATTTTAGTCGGGAATCAAATTCCTTCATTTTCTAATTTATTAGTAACCCCAACACATTAAAGCCTCATCTATTTGAATATTCTATTTATTAAGACCGCAATATTTATTTTAGTTATTCCACCTGTTTACCCATAATCTTTCCTTTTAATTAGCCGCATATGTTTAAATATTCTACTTAAGCCCATAATCCTCCTTTAACTAGCTCATTCGTTTAATTAGTGAGTCCTAAACATAAGTACCGCCATTCGTACACTTAAAGCGAGTTGGAATTAGTAAATGTGAAAGGTGCTTAGGAATATCAATGACCTGGAGATATAGAAAAAGTTTGATTATTCAAAAATGAAGAAAACTTCTGTCAAACTTGGAGGACATGTGGTGTGTCCGCTTAAAAGCGTCCAAGGTAGGCATCCCGTTACCATGCATGCGAGATTAGGGCGTGGGGGCAGCAGGAAGGAAATACATAAACAATACTTGCAAGGATGAATATTTGAGAAATTACTCTTTAAAATATCTCCTTTTTTCATCCATGAGATATATCAGTACTGTATATAAAGAACTGAGACTGTTGTTTCCAACAACCATAAGATATGAGATAGGTCAGTTGGACCATGTAATTTTATCCAAACGCAGGTTGCGAGTTCGATTCTTGCTGCCGCATCTTTATTTTGGCAGCAACTTAGTCCTCGAGCGACAGCCCAACTTGGCCCATATGCGTGAGATGTGAAAAGAAGAGGCCTGAATTACTTGATTTTGTGGACAGGTCAAGGTGGGCCGGACGCACGAGACGGGAGGATGTTCGATCAGGCGACGCACAAAGCTTAAAATTTAGTACCACCTCGAATATATTTTAAATTCAAACTGAAAGCGTAAAATTTCAGGACCTCTTTTTTTGTGCTTCTTACACACTTCCATTTATCCAGATTATGATAGCCTCTTCGGTATATTGCATTGCCCACTCTCACATCGAGACATGGTGCATCCTTCGCCGGTACATCTAAACCCTGTGGGAGACTTGCTCTTGCCCTTCCAGACATAAAACGTCTTTCTCCTCAAAACAACCACCACACCTCTATGTATTATGACATTTTCATAGCCATTCTAAGATACATTGACATGCAACTTCCATTCTATCTCTTCATTACATGACCTATGTTTTCATTGTCATTTTGCTTTGCATGATCACATAGAGCTGACATGATAGTTGTGGCAAGGCCATTATTCGTCATTATTTTACATGTTATGCTAGATCATTGCACACCCTGGCACACTGCTAGAGGCATTCATTTGTAGTCATTATTTTCATTTTAGGGTTGTAAGTAAATAAAAGTGTGATGTCCATTATAGTGTGCCTCTACTGTGGGATAAAGAAAAGATGTCAAAGCACCCAACAAAAGAAGCCAAAAAAGAGTCTGTTAGAATTATTGGGATTTAGACCATCTGTTATATCCAATAATTTATAGGAAAGTCCCATAGGCCCATGTGGCACGTTCATGCATGACAAGAAATAAGCTAAAAAATTGCGCTAGTGGAAAATGAAACTGAATGGTGACGAATGATGACATTCATCTCCTCATTGATGGCATCAATACTTTCGTTTTAGTTTCATTTCTTCATTAGTACATTGGTTTCTTCATTCTGTGCGGGCTAGCATATTGTGTTGTGCAAGAACTTGAAATGATTTGCCTACTAATGGAAGACAAGACTTACCACTTAATAGGATTTTTAGTGCGCCTGTTTCTCCTCTCCTTAATGAGAATTAGTGCGTCCATTTTAGTTTTATCTCGTTACTCCTATAAGAGGTCACTCTTTTTGCCGATGTGACACAACTCCTCGCGTTGTTCCAAAGCATTGCATCGCCTACCTCTTTCCCACCCCGCTTCCCGACGTGCACCAGAGAGTGAGACAACATGCCTCCGAAACCTCGCCTCTTGCGATCCGGTACGGGAGAGGGGCAATCAGGTTTTTGGGAAGCGTCCTTGCGCGACTGCTGGATTCTTGTTCATCATGGTTGCGAACGGCGACATCACTGACGACGAGTTCCCCAACAACAACTTCTACCCCGACGTCAGCGACATGATCTGCACCTTCTGCTACTGCGTCATATGCCATCTTATCCTCACTGTTAGGGCTAGCATTTTGGTTTATTGTTAGTAGCGATTGACATGGATATGATGCATTTTGCTTATGATTTTGATTGCACGACTAGTCTCAACGAATTGTTGCTAGTTTCTAGTTTCAACACTATATTGCTATTCATGTTTTATCCACTATTTAGATTAAACTAAATAGGAAAATGCCTAATTATTTAACAGAGCCCACAAAAATGAGAGGAAAGGAGAAAGGAGCACACTACTATCCTCTATACACACTTGTGCTTTAAAGTAGCACCTTGTACTTTACGTATAGAGTTTTCATATTCCTCTTTTTTCTTATGCTAGTGGGATTTTTACATTATGAGCACTTGACTTGCATATTCTGATGATGAGCTTTCTCAAATGCTCGAGGATGTGAGTGAGAAAGTTGGATGCACACCCACTTAGTTGCATCATGAGATTTTTCATACACTTAGCTCTGGTGCATCCGTTGTTTGGCAATCCCTACTTCTTGCATCAGTATGTATTGTAAGGCCTCTTCATTGTCTAACGATCAAATGCATTGATGTGAGCTTTATAATTTTTTGTCTTCTTATAAAGTCCCCACCATTATTCTATTTTCCATCCAAAGAGTGAAGACCAAGGTTTGTGAATTGAACAGTAAGCAAAGTGCTAAGTAGTTGAAAAGGACTCGTCATGGATTCAGTTACTTGATTGAAGCTCTAGGTGTGCTATGATAAGATGTTTGAATATGATAAAGCCTTAAATGATTGAGAACATGAATATGATATACATACGAGTATTGCTTGGTATTACATGAAAATATTAGTCCATGAAAACAATAGTAATTTTTTACACATATTAATGTTACTTGCTTGTTATCAATTGTAGACTATTGCTTTGAAGCACTTTTGTCTTGAGTTCAGACCATTTCACATCATTTGATCAAGATTATGTTGAGTAGCATTCAACATCAAAAAATACATTTCTCTATCATTTACCTACTCAAGGATGAGCATAAATTAAGTATCAGGTACACTAGTTTTCAATGAACAAAAGCATCAAATGTACCTGAACAAAACTGCGCATCAGATAAATCTTTTAGCATGCATGAGCAATTGATGAAATTCTCAATATAAACCACCACCAAAATGAACTGGCAAAAACAAAATAAAGCTTGTTGAAGTCCATGAATACCTCGAGCATCATTGGTGGCGTGTCGAGGAGAAATGAGTGCTTAAGAGCTAGTGGTCAAGAAGATGGAGACATCGAAATCAAGGGAGTTGGACCATCAACATACCTTAGCCTGAACGAGGCCGCCCACCACCTTAGAATTGACAGTAAATATTTCAAAAAGGGATGATAAATTCATGAAAGTGAAGTTACCAAGCAATTATATTGCACAACTGGCCATTACAAAACCATTATATTGAATACCAATAAAACACCCTGATTTAAAGGTTGAAGAAGACTATCATCCAAAAAGCTGTTGGGGAACGTAGTAATTTCAAAATTTTCATACGCACACGCAAGATCATGGTGATGCATAGCAACGAGAGAGGAGAGTGTTGTTTACGTACCCTCGTAGACCGAAAGCGGAAGCGTTAGCACAACGCGGTTGATGTAGTCGTACGTCTTCACGGCCCGACCGATCAAGCACCGAAACTACGTCACCTCCGAGTTCTAGCACACGTTCAGCTCGATGACGATCCCCGGACTCCGATCCAACAGAATGTCGGGGAAGAGTTCCGTTAGCACGACGGCGTGGTGACGATCTTGATGTTCTACCGTCGCAGGGCTTCGCCTAAGCATCGCTACAATATTATCGAGGATTATGGTGGAAGGAGGCACCGCACACGGCTAAGAGATCAATGATCAATTGTTGTGTCTTTGGGGTGCCCCCTGCACCGTATATAAAGGAGCAAGGGAGGAGGAGGCCGGCCCTAGGAGGTGGTGCGCCAAGTGTGGAGTCCTACTAGGACTCCCTAGTCCTAGTAGGATTCCACCTCCCATATGGAATAGGAAAAGAGGAAGGGAAAAGGAGAAGGAAGGAAGGGGGCGCCCCCCTTCCCTAGTCCAATTCGGACCAGACCAAGGGGAGGGGTGCGGCCACCCTTGAGGCCCTTTTCCTTCTTTCCCGTATGGCCCAATAAGGCCCAATAAGTATTCCCGTAACTCTCCGGTACTCCGAAAAATACCCGAATCACTCGGAATCTTTCCGATGTC